TTCAGTGAAGCAATGTATCCTACTGATTATTTTGTGGTCTTGCCTAGAACTCTTAAATTAGTAAATAATAAATAGATCTGAGTCCACATCCATTTGCTGAAGACAGATACACTCAACAAATACACATAGAACCTGCAACAGTAGTGCTTTATTGGCATTACTGGTTACAAAATTATGACTGTGAACATGAGTATTCTTATTGTAATAGAAATTTATTATGCTATAAAACTTAAAGACTGCAACACATAACGGGAGCAGTCAAGTACAAGTTAGTAAAAATAAAACATGAAAAAAATGGGCTAAACGTTTAGCCCATTTATAATAAACATTTTAAAATAAACATTTTAACATGTTAAAATGTAACCTAGCTTGGATATTTTTGCTAAAACCCAAGCAGGTCTAATAGCTTGAGTCCAATACACTAGCAGAGTCTGAAGAAATTAAGAGTGAAAGCTGGCATTCAGGAGATGGTTGGGAGGTGAGTTTTCAACACAAAACAGATGGCTACTGATTGTGAGGACTGTGGCCCTAACCATCAGGCCTGTGGGCTGCCATCCACATGAGGAAAAGGAAAGAAAATTAGCACAGGTTTTAAATCAAGAAATCCCAAAAGGACCAGATTAGGCAGGTGTAAATACTGCGGAAACATTAAAGAACAAAAGGCCATAATCTTTTAACAAGAAGGAACAGGGTGAACAAGGAAGTGATGACCAGGTAGGAAAAGAAACATACGCAGAAATCTTAGGGCAATAAACTGGAATTAGGAGGCAAATACAAAGCAGGTTTATGATGAATCCTGTTTTAATCTGAACTGCAAAAAGGTCACCAGGAGATGTATCTGTTTGTTTATCAATTTTCTAGGCTGCTCATTTTCAAAAGGGTACTGGGCAGCTTCACCAAATAAAAACAGAAGGAAAACAACTTTACAAAAAGGGGAAGAATCACCCCAAGATATATAATGCACTCCTTACATCAGCCCAAGGCTAAAGGAACCCATCAAACTCCTTAACACAAAGCCAGAGGAAAGAACTAAGTATTTAGGCATTTCTTTTATATAAACATGAGAGCCGGTTTGGTCTAGTGGTTAAAGCACTAAGCTAGAAACCAGGAACCTCTGAATTCTAGTCCTGCATTAGGCATGGACCAGTCACTATCTCTCTCAGCCTAGCCCATCACAGGGTTGTTGTTTTGGGGAAAAAATAGGAAGTGAAAGGTATACTCAATATGTTTGCCACCTTGAGTTGTAAGTAAAAATTGTAAAGGTGGAATACAAATAAATAAAAAATATGAATATTGCCCACAATATAAGTTTAAAGTTGTCTGTGGCTTTTCTAGTTTTAAAGTAGTATTTTCCTCTTTTTTCCAGTACCATTTTGACAATGGATACCATCTAGCATGCTTCATTGATAAAAGGATTGCAGTTCGGATTAGGAGCTAGGATCCAGCCAGCTCCTATTATCATCTTCAAGCTGCTATGGACTATACCTCTCTCCTTTGGTCATGGATTTCTATGGCCATTTGGCTTGGGCTGCAAGAGAGAAGAAACTGGACACCTGAGATCCATAGAAGAATCTGGCCATGTAAAGCTCGAAACAGCAATTTTTGAAATGCTTATCAAGTCTTATTGGGGACTCTTTATAGATATGGGCTTAATGCTCTTCTGAAAGAGCACTAGAACCAATTTAAATCAGGAAAGAGAACCAGCTTTTGATTGCTGGTTCTGTTGCCAATGAGTTCATTACAGATTTCCCATTGTTAAGAAAGAGTTTCATACCACCATACTTTTTACAGTTTTTATTATTTTTTGGGATGGGGGGACTATTGCAGGAGGTCATGGAGGAGGAGCATATGGTAAAGAGGGTAAGCCTCCCTAGTACTCTACTTAATTCCTCCCATATAACTGTATCCTGTTAGTTGGGCTATTTTTGAATATAAATTGAGGATTGTTTTGAAAGAATGCACAAGGCTGGTTGGTTGCCCACTGTCCTTCTTTCACCCAGGATGCCTTTTTTTTATCTGTGACTTTTTAACCAGACATTAACCATTTTTTCAAAAAATATTCAGAAATAGACATCACCAACTTTTGAAAGTATGCTTTTGAATATAGGTAGTCCTTGACTGACAACCATTTGTTTAGTGACCAAAGTTACAATGGCCCTTAAAAAAAGTGACTTATGTTTTTTTACATTTACGACTGTTGCAGCTTCCCAATGGTCATGTGATCAAAATTCAGACACTTGGCAACTGGTTCATATTTATGATGATTGCAATGTCCAAGGGTCATGTGATCACCTTTTATGGACTGCTGACAAGCAAAGTCAATGGGGAATCCACTTAACAACTATGTTACTAACTTAACAACTGCAGAGATTCGCTTAATTGACTTAACAAATGTCTTACTTAGCAACAGAAATGTTGGGCTCAATTGTGGCTTTAAGTCGCGAACTATCTGTACTCTTAAAATCTCTGTTCACCAACCTCATTTGTATTTATGCTGTTTGAAAAAGGTCAGATTCAGGTGTGTTAAAACATCTTCTGATTTCCATATTAGGAAATGGAACAAAACGAGAAATGTTTCACTACTGTATATTCAAGTTTTCATAAAATACTTTAAGCATGCATAGAATATCTGAGTTAAAGTTCAGTTTAAATCCATTCAAGAATGAAATGTGGTTGAATAGTAAATCACCTGGTTTTATTTGCTCTGCCCAAAAGTGTCTTTGGAGGTGGATTTTGAACCAACTTGAGGGCCCCACGGTAGCCGGAAGATTTAGAGACACCTATAGAAAGCAACAGAGTCAACCACAGAAGGCTAATCCCTCTCTGTTTGCCAACTATGGGCAATTATAGCAGAAGAACCTTTTGAGAACTATGTACAATCTCAAAAAAAGGATTTACATATCCAATACTTCTCCATTCTCTTACTTTGTCACATTGGGCTCATACTTCATTTCTTTTCTTTTCTTTTATGTAACTATGTACTTCAGGAATCATTCTGTGGACTATGTCTATATCCCAAAGCAGTCCCTCACAGCCAGTAGTTCACTATGCTAACGCTCCCTGGGACAAATCTGCCCTTTTGGCAATGCTATATGCTATTCTATTGCCAATGGTGCTATTAATTTATAGTTTGGCTGAATTATAGCTGCTACCCTAGCAGGCAGGTTGCCATCTTTCCAGCTCTAATTTGTGTAATTGGGCTGCTGACCTCAGGATGACTAACAGGTAAAAAAAGGCAGACAGGCCCCACCCCACCCTTAAAGCCAGCAATCCTCCTCGTTTCTTTCTCCATTGTATCCTGCCTTGGTTATCTTTACAAATAACTCAAGGCAACAAACATATCCAAACACACCTTCCTCCTGCTATTTTCCCTGCGAGGTGAGTCGGGCTGAGAGGGACTGACCCAAATCATCACCCAGCTGCCTTTCATGACTAAGGCAGCGCTTGAACTCACCATCTCCCGCTTTCAAAGTGGATCTAAGCTATGTGCTTAGAGCTCAAAGCATTGTTAGAGCCCCCCACACACCCACTTTACAGTCTGTTTCTGTTGCTCCCCTCTGGGAGGAGGTTTCAAAGTATTTCTAGCAGGACTTCCAGATTCTGTAACTGCTTTGTTCCCTATGCCATCCATCTGGTAAACTCGCAAGATTTGTTTCTCTTGCCATGTACATGTATCTATCCGAAGTAGACTGTGTTGTTTCTCGGTGTCATATAATATATGTGGGTACATGCATAATTTTGTATTTATTTATTTATCCTGTCATGTTTATGTTTATATTAGAGGTGGAGACCCTTTGAGAGCTGTATGCAAGGTAATTTCATTTTAATGTATGCCGATTAGTGTACATTCAAACTGACAGTAAAGTATCTGATTCCTATCCTCAAAATATCAAGGAAATTTAAGAGTAACCCCTGGCATAATTTCAACACCAAAGGTTGAATAACACCAATTGTATACAGCTCCTCTGAGGCTATGCAGAGTTCTCCAGGAATTTCCTCACTTGGGCGTTTGGTGAAACTAAACTGAAGGGGGGGGGGGAAACAAAACAAAAAACGTCCCTCTGGAGTCAAACCAACCAGATTCTCGACTCTTTCAACTCCTGGGATGGGATTTGTTGTCTCGGACACAGCCAGAACGCCGAAAAGAAGAGAAGAGGCGTGGATGAAACCAGCCCGAGCGCCAGCTACAAAACCAGGTCTGGAATTGCAGCGCCACACAGAACCTAGGCAGGGGATGAGCCGAGGGAGGCGGGACGGGGCTCCTGGTACGTAAGGCGAGAGCTCGGTTACTCGACACCCAAAGATTTCTCCGCCAGCCGAGAAGCGGAGCAACGGCGGTGATTTATTAGCCTGCAATCTGGTTGCCCAGAGAGGCTGGCAGACGGCCTGATAAGCACCCTGAATGGAGCCTGATGTCATGCTAGTGTCAAGCTGGTAGCTTCCCAGAACAGAAAGCCCGGGAGCGTCACTCGAGGAAGGGGGAAAAAAAAAGAAAGAAGACCTTGCTCAGTCTCGCCTCCCACCCGCGTCGTTCCCAGCCTCGCCACGACACGCCTCCCCCTTCTCCCGCCACCCGCGCCCGCCAGCTCAACTTTCGGCTCCGGCCGGTGGGAGAAAGGGTCCCGGGGGGGGGCCGGCCGGCCGGACTGCCAATCCCACCGGCTCCTCAGCTCCGTCGATCTCCGATCTTCTTGGAAGGGAGGAGCGCCTATTTGCCCTACCTAAAGCAGGTAAGCGTTGGGGCTTGGGTCCTCGCTGGGGACGCGGGCTCCTCTCTTCTGCGGAGGGAGTTGGTTCGCAGCCGAGCTGAGCCGAGCCCTTCTTCTGCTGACCCAGAAGGTAACTTGAAGTATGGAAGGAGGGGGGGGGGTTGGTTTCTTTCAGAAACAGCAGCGGCGGGGAAGGTGGGGGGGGGGGGAAGGAATGCCTTAAAATACAAAGCAGCCCTCCTTGCTTCCTGTTCTCCTTCTTCGCTTCTGCTTTGTAGGAACTGGCGCGGTCAGGTCATCTTAACACACGCCGGAACTATGGAGCCGCTGGAGGATGGTCCCAGTTCTTTTCTAAAAAAGTATAACTTAAGGGTGGCGATAGGTGTTGGGTGTGCGTGTGTGCGCGCAGTAGGCATTTAAATATAGGGATATGCGTTTGGATTATCCGACGTTGTTTCTTTAAAAAAAAAAACACCACAAAAACACCATAGTAAGGTTAAAGCTTTAAAACCAATCGGGAACATTCTATAATGTTTTGTTTGAGGAGTGTGATTGAGGAAAGAGGAAAACAAATAGCCCCTCCCAAAAGGTGAAGTGCACCCAGGGGCTTAATATGGTGACTGGGAATTTGCAAGGCAAAAGAGGGATTCTTTAATGGTTGGTGTATTTCTGTCTCCCTTTACACACACACACACAGGGAGGGGGGGAGAGAGAGGGAGGAGGGAGGGAGAGAGAGAGAGAGAGAGAAAGAAAGAAAGAAAGTACACACACTCACAACACACACTCTTCCACTCAGTCCCTCCCAGCAAAGGGGATTGAGAAATGCAACAACTGTTAAACATGAAACAAAAGAACCCCAGGTTCAAATTCTTGCTGAGCCTCCTCAAACCTTTTGACTGGTTGGGGTGGTTAGGAGCATGACATTGAACAATATATTTTATCCCCTAGGGCCTAGGGCATTGGGAAGAAAGGGAAACTACAAATGTACCTGGGAATTATTATTTTTTTTTAAAAAAAGCCATTTGGTGGTACTTCATGTTTCCATAAAGGGTGGAGAATTGTGGTGAGTTGGCTTTAAGAACCAAGCCACTTTATGGATCCTTTTTGATTTCAGGTAGGGGGGTCTAGGTAGTGGTGGAATTCAAGTAATTTAACAACCGGTTCTCTGCCCTAATGATTTCTTCCAACAACCAGTTTGTCAAACTGCTCAGAATGTTAACAACCGGTTCTCCCGAAGTGGTGCGAACTGGCTGAATCCCACCACTGGGTCTAGGGATTTGTTGTACTGTGCTAAGATACAGAACTCTTGAGTTTGGGCAAGCATTCACAAGGGTTGTGAGTAAGTCAAAGGAGAACATTTCCTTTTTGCCTCTATTCTGCAAACAAACATGAACTAAATTAAACTGGGACTTTGCTTCTTGACTGGGAACATAGAAGATAGAATAATAGAGTTGGAAGGAACCTTGGAGGTCTTCCAGTACTTTCCTAGGCTAAATGGGTAAAGTTGGAATCTGTGTGAGTATGCCTCTTCAAGTCAGTGTTGACTCCTAGCGTTTGCCTGGACAAGTCCCTGAAGTCTTCTTGGCAAGTAAGTTTTCAAAAGTGACTTGCCATTACTTCCTTCCTAGGGCTGAGGCAGAGAGACTGGCCCAAGGTCACCCAACTGATTTTGTGCTTCAAGCAGCTCATAGTCTCCCAGGGCCTAATCTGTTGTTTTAACCACCGCACCAAAATGGCTCTCTTGAAGTAATAATTCATAAGCTGCTACAAGCCGTTTCCATGATTTTATCAAGCTTCCTTATCAAAATACCCTTCAACAGATAACACTGCAGAATTATTCAATCGCTTTGACATCTGGAGCCTTCAGAGAAGGAATAATATGTTTCCCAGTCAGGTAATGGCAATATATTTGGTTTACAACTCTTGTCGTTTCTAACTTTCAGCCTTTGTGGCTGAGGCTCATAGGAGTTGCAGTCAAAACCATCTGATGAACATCAATTGAGGAATGTCAGTGCGTATGCTCTTGGAATTAGGCCATTATATAATATAGACTGATACCTTCAGTCAGTATTATGGATACTGTTTGACCTCTCAAAGCTGGTCTGCAGAATTCAGGCTATCATAAATTGTCAATAACAACATAGCTCTAGTCTGCATTACAAGGTTATGCATTTGCTTTAGAAAAGAGGTGTTCAACCTTGGCAAGACCTGTGGACTTCAACTCCCAGAATTCCCTAAGCCAGAATTCTGGGAGTTGAAGTTCACAAGTCTTAAAGTTGCCAAGGTTGGGCACTCCTGCTCTAGAATTTGCACAACCAGGCATAGTTTTAAAAATGTTTCATACTGGATGTGATATTTTGGCTATGTTTAACATCACATACGAAGCACAAACCTACCAACTACATTTCAGCCTTATATAGCATATGAATTCAGCCACTGAGATTAATTTCTTGTTCATTGTATCAGGCAAACCCATTGAGTGATATTGAGTGACATAGTTCAGTTAATTATAGATAAGGATTGTGAGTGAACATAGCCATTATTTGTTATCTTCAGTTGTGCTTTTTTGAATTAACTAAGTAGATAGGCTTTCACCAAACTCAGTTTTTGGAAGTTTGATATATACAATTTATTAGGAGCAGAATTCTAGATCTGTATACTTTTTGCAGGCAAATAGTGGTAGTTTGTGCTTTTAGATAGAGGATGTATATATGTATATATCTCTTCATCGTCACCTGTCTCATAATGTCTGTATGTTATTTCTGTTCACTGTTTTGTTCTATGAGCATCACTTGCTATTCTCATTTTTGCCTTTTGTATGAGCTATCAAACCTGCATAATCTTGCTAAGGACTTTGTCTGGTAATCAAGCATATATAAGATCAAGTTTCTTAAGACATCCTTGTGGGTTTGGAACCATGGAGAAAAGAGTCCCTGAGATCTAACGCATTTATAAGAGCCCTGGTGGTGCAGTGGCTAGAATGCAATATTGCAGGCTAACTCTGCCCCAGCCTGGAGTTCGATCCTGACAGGGCTCAAGGTTGACTCAGCCCTCCATTCTTCTGAGGTCGGTAAAATGAGAACCAACATTGTTTGGGGGAAATATGCTAATACTGCCCAGAGAGTGGTGTAAAGCACGGTGGGGCAGTATATAAGTCTACATGCTATTGCTATTTTATGCCTTCTTTTCCCCTCCTGCCGTCCAAAAGAAATAATTGCTCACTGCTTCCTCCTTCCTCTGCCATTTCCACCTCTCCTGCCTACTACAGAGATTCATCTGGAAGCAGCCAACCTTCTTGAGTCAGAGCCAGTAATTGCTTCTAGATACCTTGGAAATGGTGCCTGTTTCCTGCAGAGGTGTGAATCATAGAAGAAAGGAATTTCTAGGCCTTTGTAGTTTCGGGGCTGTTCTGCAGTTTGCCTTGGAAAGAAAAATTACCTATAGAAATAAAGCAACTTTTCCTATTATTTCTGTACTCTCTGAAAGCTATTGGGGAGAGGGGGACTATTATATATTTGTGTGTAAACTGTACTTACTTTGTGTTGTCTATGGATGCAATGAGAAGGCAGCTCATAAAAGCATCTAGGGTAATGTATCATTTGGTACAAGTGGAGAAATTGAAACAGAAGTGTTTAATAAAAATGTACTGTGCCTCCTGGCCTGCCATGGAAACCAGATGTCAGAACTGCGGCTTCTCATAGGCCCTTGATGCTGTTCCCCTCAAGCAATATTTCCATCCTCTCTTTCTTAAAATGCCACATGTTATTTGCAAAGAGAATCTGGGAAAAGTAGATCCAGAAAGTAGCTCATCTTTAATCCATCTGGAGCAATGCTGCCTTTTCCAACCAGCAGTGAGTTTCAAACAGAGGTGCTTTTTATTTCTCCTGCTAAGTGAAGATGTATGGAGGAGAAGCCTGCTGCATTCTTAAAATGAAATAAGCAATGTTGACATGGGTCTCCAGATCATCCCTAGATAGTGGGGTCGTTCTAGAGCAGTGGGTCTCAACCTTCCTAATGCCGCGACCCTTTAATACAGTTCCTCATGTTGTGGTGACCCCCAACCATAAAATTATTCCTAAGATCATTGAAAATATGTGTTTTCGGATGGTCTTAGGCGACCCCTGTGAAAGGGTCGTTCGACCTCCAAAGGGGTCCCGACCCACAGGTTGAGAACCAGTGTTCTAGAGGAAAACTAAGATAAATCTCAGGTACCACAACAAGTATAAGCAAATGTTTTAATCAAGAGCTGCCATGTAGAGAGCCTTCACATAATGTATTGTAGAATGCAGAGAGTTTCTATTTTTGTTTTGCACATAGTGATTATTACTAGTCAGGGATTGTAAGCTTGAAAGTGTCCTTTCATCAAATGACTTATCTGACCAGATGTGATTCAGTGCCATTATCCAGAGAACAACTTTAGAAATACGAGAAGCTTCCTAGAGTGATGCCTCCTACAAATTACATGTTTGTAATTGCATCTGGGGGCTATAACATGTGAATGAGCATTGTACAAGAAATGAATTCTAATTGGAGAGAATGATAGCATGGATCTTCCCAGGGGTGAAATCCAGCAGGTTCTGACAGGTTCTGGAGAACTGGTAGCAGAAATTTTGAGTAGTTCGGAGAATCGGCAAATGCCACCTCTGGCTGGCCTCAGAGTGGGATGGGAATGGAGATTTTGCAATATCCTTTTCCCAGGAGTGAGGAGGGAATGGGGATTTGACAGTATCCTTCCCCTGCCATGCCCACCAAGCTACACCACGCCCTCCAAGCCATGCCCACAGAACTGGTAGTAAAAAAAATTGAATTTCACCACTGGATCTTCCCCTCCCCCATTCCTTTTAGAGTCATAAATGGGGGAAAAGACATATCTGTTTTAGTCCTTTATCAAGTATTAGTTATATTCTGATTTGAATTTTTTTTCCTAAGTGAAAAAATGGAAGCCCTCACCAACGTAACTGTATCCTAAACACTGGTCTGTTTCTGCTGATGCAAGATTGGAACTAAAGAAAGGTTAACAGCTAAGCTATCTTACTGATCAGTAGTTTGAGGAAGTTTATTGGGGGTGGATTTCCAAGGAACTGGCAGTGAAGTAAGCATCAATGTTTACTTAAGGCTTCTGCAACATTAATTAATGCTGAATCAAGTAGTTTGTTGGAGCACATGGGAGCAGGGCAAAAGTGCTTGTTCTAAGAATAGAGATGACAGTAACTAGCTTGCTCTGAATCCCTATTTGTTTAGTATATTTTTAATCCAGCCTTTCTGATTTTATCCAGGCATTGATTGGATAAAATCTGTATTGCATGAATTTTAGCAAAAAGGCTACATCATCTGCTAACAGATGATGCATTGACCTCAGATTTTTCTTGTTGTTAGATAGGACAGCTATATTTGGGATATTAAAAAAAAACCAGTCATTCACTAGAAGATGACAAAATCTTAGGTTTTTGTGTCTCATCACTATCCTCTAGTATCTGTGTGGATATACAGAACTGTGGATAACTCAGAATTGGTAACCCTATAGCTGGCTATGTAGAGAAAATAATCACTGTGTTTGTGTGAATAAATATGTATATGTGTGTGTATAGAGGGAGTCAATGCCACATGTTATTTGCAAAGAGAATCTGGGAAAAGTAGATCCAGGAAAGTAGCTCATCTTTAATCCATCTGGAGCAATGCTGCCTTTTCCAACCAGCAGTGAGTTTCAAACAGAGGTGCTTTTTATTTCTCCTGCTAAGTGAAGATGTATGGAGGAGAAGCCTGCTGCATTCTTAAAATGAAATAAGCAATGTTGACATGGGTCTCCAGATCATCCCTAGATAGTGGGGTCGTTCTAGAGCAGTGGGTCTCAACCTTCCTAATGCCGCGACCCTTTAATACAGTTCCTCATGTTGTGGTGACCCCCAACCATAAAATTATTCCTAAGATCATTGAAAATATGTGTTTTCGGATGGTCTTAGGCGACCCCTGTGAAAGGGTCGTTCGACCTCCAAAGGGGTCCCGACCCACAGGTTGAGAACCAGTGTTCTAGAGGAAACTAAGATAAATCTCAGGTACCACAACAAGTATAAGCAAATGTTTTAATCAAGAGCTGCCATGTAGAGAGCCTTCACATAATGTATTGTAGAATGCAGAGTTTCTATTTTTGTTTTGCACATAGTGATTATTACTAGTCAGGGATTGTAAGCTTGAAAGTGTCCTTTCATCAAATGACTTATCTGACCAGATGTGATTCAGTGCCATTATCCAGAGAACAACTTTAGAAATACGAGAAGCTTCCTAGAGTGATGCCTCCTACAAATTACATGTTTGTAATTGCATCTGGGGGCTATAACATGTGAATGAGCATTGTACAAGAAATGAATTCTAATTGGAGAGAATGATAGCATGGATCTTCCCAGGGGTGAAATCCAGCAGGTTCTGACAGGTTCTGGAGAACTGGTAGCAGAAATTTTGAGTAGTTCGGAGAATCGGCAAATGCCACCTCTGGCTGGCCTCAGAGTGGGATGGGAATGGAGATTTTGCAATATCCTTTTCCCAGAGAGTGAGGAGGGAATGGGGATTTGACAGTATCCTTCCCCTGCCATGCCCACCAAGCTACACCACGCCCTCCAAGCCATGCCCACAGAACTGGTAGTAAAAAAAATTGAATTTCACCACTGGATCTTCCCCTCCCCCATTCCTTTTAGAGTCATAAATGGGGGAAAAGACATATCTGTTTTAGTCCTTTATCAAGTATTAGTTATATTCTGATTTGAATTTTTTTTCCTAAGTGAAAAAATGGAAGCCCTCACCAACGTAACTGTATCCTAAACACTGGTCTGTTTCTGCTGATGCAAGATTGGAACTAAAGAAAGGTTAACAGCTAAGCTATCTTACTGATCAGTAGTTTGA